GGGCTGCTTGGAGGGAAGGAGACTCATTAAGGGACGTCCTTTCCCTGCATGTAGGTCCTGAGACTGACCATAGGTGATGCTGGGTTCTGTGTAGGACATGTCTGGGGCACTATCTCCATGAGTCAAATAATCCCATTGAGAGAGAGGAACATTTTCCCTGTTTACAGAGGAGGACCTCAGTACCTTTTTGGAAATCACTGTTAGGAAGTAATGATGCTTTGATCAAACATCTGGCTGCTCAACTAGACTGTCTACTTCAAGAAGAGTGCAGAGTGCAGGGCCTGCCATAGGAGTTGCTCAGGAAATGACCTGAGCATGGTAGCACCAAAATCCAAACATAGACTTTTGCAGCTTCAAAGCTAGGCCTTGTTGTATCCCCTGGATGAGAACATGGTGAAGGGCAGGAACAAGTAAGGATTATTTTGTTTATCATTTGGTAGGGGCATTTGCTCAGTAGATGGCCATGGAGCTCTGAGAGCTTGGAAGAATTAACGCAGATTCCTAAAAGTCCAGGTACTCTCTTGGTTTCTTGGAATTTTATTACATTGAACCTCAGGGAGAGGGAAATAAAGCATGTGAGTTGGATGCTTATTAGCTATAGTGCTGGTGTGCTGCCTAAGAGCATCTCAAGAAGGTGATCTATGATCACAAATGGAATTCTGTCAGAACACCTATGCCTCCTACAAAGGTCCTATCCAGCTGGAGGTGGGGATGGGGGGAGGATTCCCCAGGGAACGTGAATGGTGGCCCTGCCTGGATGGTGGACTATGCACCGGTTTTGTATGAGCCGACTGGAGAGGAGTGCCTGCCCGGGGGGGTGGGAGGGGTGGGGATGTTGGGGCTGGCGGCCCCAGTGAACCAGAAGACTGCTGTGGGAGATCCAACAACATGAAGGTGCCAGGCTTCATGTCCCTGCTGGCTTGCAGCCACTGTCCCAGCTGGAAAACATGCGGAACACAGGGGTCCGTGATGGACAGCCACTTTTTTTTCTTCAATATGCTTTTTAAAAAATCTTCACTTGTGTGCCTGAGTAGCTCAGTTCATTGTGTCCAATTCTTGATTTTGGCTCAGATCTTGATCCCAGGATTGTGGGATCCAGCCCTGCATCAATCCCTGCATCAGACTCTTTGCTGAGCATAAGATCCTCTTAAGATTCTCTCTCTCCCCCTACCCCCTATCTGCCCCTCTCCTTTGTTTATGCTCATGCTCTCTCTCTAAACTAATTTTAAAAATCCTTACTGAGGTATAATTGACATGCAATAAACTGCTTGTATTTTTTTAAATGTTTTTTATTTATTTCTAGGAGAGAGAGAGAGAGAGACAGCGTGAGCAGGGGAGGGTCAGAGAGAGAGGGAGTCACAGACTGAAACAGGCTCTAGGCTCTGAGCTGGCAGTCAGCACAGAGCCTGATGCGGGGCTCGAACCCACAAACCGCGAGATCATGACCTAAGCGAAAGTCGGACGCTTAACCAACTAAGCCACCCAGGCGCCCCTAAACTGCTTGTATTTAAAGTGCCTTATTTGATAAGTTTTGACATACATGTGCACCCACGAAACCATCACCACAATCAAGATAATGGACATATTCCTCACTTCCAATGTCTTCCCATGCCCTTTTGTAGCTCCTCTTCAGCCCTTCCTACCTCCCCAGATAACCGCTTGTGCTTTCTGCCACAACAAATTAGTTTGCATTTTCTAGAATTGTATACAAGTAGAATTGTAGACTATATACTCTATTTGTCTTTTTTCACCCCAGCATAACTATTTTGAAACCCATTCGTGTTGTGGCATATATCACTAGTTTTTTTCTTTTCATTGCCGAGTGCTATTCCATTGTTGGATGGAATGTCTGCTGTTGCCTGTTGATAGACATTTGTTGTTGTTTTTTTTCTGGGTTTTGACTATCACAAATAGAGCTGCCATGAACGTTTATGTCCAAATCTTTGTATGGACATATGCTTTCTTTTCTCTTGGGTAAACATCTAGAGTGCAATGGCTGGGTTATAGGGTAGTAGATACATGTTTAACTTTCTAAGAAACTGCCAAACTGTCTTCCAAAGTAGGTGTACTATTTAAATGCCCATCAGCAGTGTGGGAGGGGCCAGGCTGGGGGACACTGAGTCACCCAACCCAGGACAACCTAAAGAAATGTTGAGCACATTGGGTTGCCTGGGTGGCTCAGTCATTTAAATGTCTGACTTCAGCTCAGGTCATGATATCACAGCTCGTGAGTTTGAGCCCTGTGAGTCAGGCCCTGTGCTGACAGCTAGGAGCCTGGAGCCTGCTTTGGATTCTGCGTCTCCCTTTCTCTCTGTCTCTCCCCTGCCCCTGCTCATGCTCTGTTTCTCTCTCCTTCAAAAATAAATGAACATTTAAAAAACTTTTTAAAAAAGAAATGTTGGGCACAGGTTTTCTTGATGATCAATCATTTTGCCTTTAAAAACATGGTTGTATGTTTTCTCAGGTATTGTAGGGTCTTACATAGTTTTTTTGCTTTGTTTTTGTTTTTTCTTCAAGGAGTAGGGGACCTGCGCCCATACTGCCCTATTCATTCGTGCCCAGGGGGAATTAATGAAGGCAGCTTACTGTAGACACAGGTTCTGTCTGTTTTCATTCCTCTGGGACATGAAATATCACATCTCAGAAGGAGGGAGGCTTGTTCAGAGAGCATATGTCTGTCTTAAGGTAAATGAATAACTCCATAACACTCCTAGTAGTGTTGTTCCCCAAATCTGACTGATCATGTAAAATCTTTGCCTTTGCAAATGTTAACATAAGAATGCAATTCATGGAGGGTCTTTTTTGGAAACAGAAAAACTGTGGCACCTTGATGAAAAATGTGCGTTTTATCTCTACTTGGTGTACCTCACCAACATTGCCCATGAGCCCTGGAAGCTTCCCAGAGCCATGCCTACTTGGGTCAGCCAGGCAGGTGATGGAGAGGAGAGGATGGGTCTCAGGAATGTCCACTGTAATTACTCAGAACTGTGTTAATTGAAAGTTGTCTTTGGCATGTATCTGTGGAATGACTATTTTCTCCCATGTAGAAGCTTCAGAAGCAGGGATACCCTTTCAGAGGTGGGCATTAAGTGTCCAGTCTGTTCCTGAGTGAGTAGTCTCACAGAGCTGAGTCTGCAGTTACTTATTAAAATGCTATAGGTGAGAGCACGTGGATGGCTCCATCGATTAATTAAGCATCAACTCTTGATTTTGACTCAGGTCATGATTTCACAATTTGTGAGTTCAAGCCCCTTGTCAGGCTATGTGCTGACAGCATGGAACCTGTTTGAGATTCTCTCTCTCCCTTTCTCTCTGCCTCTCCCCTGCTCATTTTCTCCCCCTCTCCCCCACACTCTCTTTCTCTCTGAAAAGAAAAAAACAAAAAACAAAAAAACCTTAATAAAATGCTGTAGTTGATAATCTTTGTTTTCATTCTTAAAACCAGAATGGCATCTCCAGAAATAGATTTATGTATTTATGGGAATTCACTTAGTAATATAGGGCCATTCAAATCACCTGGGAAAGGAAGGACCATTAACAAGTGTGTTTTAAGTTATATCCTTCTGGAATTTGTTTTTATATGAGATATGAGGTAGACATCTAATTTTATGTTTTCCAAAAGTGTATCTCCTTTTTCCCAGCAGAATTTATTCTGCATTTACATACTACTCTTCACTGATCTCTTTATCATGCCTTCTGCCTTTATCCCACAGTAAAGTCACAGTAGCTTGACAGCGGGTCAGATAAATCCTCCCTCACTGTTGTTTAATTTAAAAATGTATTGGGATTTCCCCCTTCTATATCAATTTTAGAATCAGCATGTGTTTTATTTAAAGTATCCCATTGGGATTTTGTTTGGGGTTGCATTTTAATTATAGTTAACTTTTCCTTTCTACTCATGTAATGTGGGCCACATTTTGTACTTTGAATAATTTTACTTATATATCTAAAGCAGTGCTTAATAATTCTGAGTTAGAAAACTTGCTTTCTTGCTAACTTTTATAGAGGGTAGTATATTTTAAGTCGGTATATAATAAATATTTACCATGTATCTCTCTGTGCTAGACGGTGCTAGGAGATGAGGATTTAATGGAAAACAAAACCAGTCATTGCTGCCAGGGACCTCACTGCCTGCTGCGAGGAAGCAGACAATAGAAAATCATGGTGGAGGGCATATAATGCTAAAACTTGGCAAAGGAAACACAAGATGAGGCACCTAGCCCAGTTTGGAGAGTCAGGGAAGACTGTCTGAGGAGGTGATGTATAAGTTGAGGCCTGAAGGTCAAGGAGGAATTGGCCTAGTAAAGTAGGGGAGTACAAGTGAAAGTGAGACTGGAGGTGAGAAGGAACATGACCGTTGAGAGCTACAGATAGTTTGAAAGTGGCCCGAGCAGGGAGGGCTGGTTTGGGGTGGGGATGTCCCAACATGAGGCTAGAAGGGCTGGATCATAGGTCATGAAAGGCCCTGCCAGCCAGACTCCCCACTAGATCCCAGGAAGGGCTGAGTCTCCAAGAAAAGTGCTATTCTGGAGCCTGGTGCTCTCAGCTTTACTCCCCTGGCTATGGGGTTAACAGTGTGTCAGAGTGAGGCAGGACTGGTGACAGGGCATGGTAGCAGTGGGGAAGGAGTGAAGCACTGGGGTTTGAGAGCTTCAGGGGGCAGAGCCAAGCTCTGTCTCCTGTTTGTTCTTTATGGTGTCTGCAGTACCAGAACCCAACCACACTGGGATCTTAGCCATGTCACTTTTCAGCCACATGACCTGGAACAGATGATGTAACCCAACCCCCTATCTTCCTAAGCCCCAGTTCCATTATTTGAAGAATCAGGCTGTTGTAAGGATGTGTAAAATGTCGGCACTGTGCCTGGCCTGTATGGCACCAATACAAGTGACAGCAATGATTGGGGGGAGGCAGTTTGATTAACTACAAAATGTCCTGCTGAGTATGAAAGGGGAGGGGAAGGGAGTGATACCATCCTCTCTTATTTACTGTTTCCCTAGTGCCATGTCAATCACTGTGAAATTGCTGCCGAGGCACTGGATGCAGAATCCCACCCAGTTCCCATGGGAGATCTTCCTGCAAGGAGAGGCCTTCAGTGGAGAGAACCCAGCCCTCTTCAGCGCGGAGAGCTGGTGGTGGATGGTGTGCTCAGAGCTGGGCCCTGACCTTCTAGCCACATTATTCTCCTTTCACTCGGGGCCCTCAGTCAGAAGGCTGAATGTGCTCTGGGGTGACTGACAAACCAGTCAAGGCCTCTGGTATGATTTAATCTGACAGATCCAAAGAGGAGCATAAAATGATTTTGCTGTGGCTCAGACTTGCAGAGCTCCTGCAATTACATGTCTCCTTTCATGTAAAATTAGATTAGCACCGTGGCTCCAGTGTAATGAGTCTCTCATGCCAAGGACCGTGTTAATTAGTATGTTGTAAATGTTGACTTTTGATTCAGGGCTTCTTTGGGGGGTGATAATTAATTTTTAATAGCTTTGGGCAAATCTACATGCAATACCATGAAAGTGCCAAAATGGCTTCTCACGAGGCCATTGATGTATATGCTTGCACTATCTGTTGGCCATCTCAGAGACTGTGCCATAAAGGAAAAACGAATGTGAAATGTCTGCTCCTGGCATTGACTGGTGAAACATCAGCTTTTGGTTGTTGCACCCTCTTGGAAAGAACTGTGCTATTTTTAAGCTTAGATGGAGGATATCTTGGAAGCTTTACTTTTCCATCTCTGAGATGCATGCTGGAAGTTATAGGGAGGAGCTCTAGAAGGAAGTCCAGTCCTGACCAGAAAGGGAGGGCCTGAATCTGGCCAACAGGTGGAGATTGCATCCTCTGTGCATTCAAACACCAAGGATTTCAGGCCAGTGAAATCTGCTTCCTCTTATAAATTGACTGACTCACCTTCTTTCCAGATTACACATCTTCAAACCAGTTTCAGGAGCTAGTTGCTAACACAAGGAACAAGATCTCCCTTCCATTGACTCACCAACTCAGTTCAGATACTTGCAGAGAGAAAAATAAACTTATAGAGCACACAAAAATCAGAAAAAAAATCAAAAGAGCTGCAGGACAACCCAGTGCCTTCTTGGGGCTCACCCCATAGGAGAAGCATTGGCTGAGGCTCCCAAGTCCACTGGAGGCTCTCAAGTCCAAGTCTCCCTAAAGGGAAAGAAATTGATAGGTTGATAGGAGACGGTTTGGGTACAGCCTTTTGGAAGGCAGCACCAAGGACCAGAAGGTAGACAGATTTCGGTTCTAACCCCAAGAGCACAAGGCAGGATGAACTTTTCTCTAAGAACAGATTCTGCTCTTGAGAGTCTTTCTCTGGAGCAGCTTTGCCTCCTTTTCTGGTGGAAACTCTGTTTCCCTTTTAGAGCATAGCTTAATTTTATTTTGTGCCATGTTATTTGAGGGGAGGAGGGATGTGAATCTCAGAACACATGTTGTTTTCTGTGTATCTCTATGTGACACTGGCTGACATCAGAAAGAAGTGTAGGGGGTGACTCTGTCTCCATGCTACAAGGTGACTGGGCTTCAGAAGGAGGACATTGGCCCCTGGGCTTGGCAGACATGTAGTTTGTTGCAGTTGCTGACTGGGTGTGATCCTTGGGCTGGAAGCACTAGTTGGCTGGATGACTCACAGAGCTTATTGTCTCTGTCTTTTCAAGTGTCACCCTCTGCCTCCACATACTCCCAGGTTCCAGAAAGACCTGTCCCATGAAAATATGTGACACTTCTGTTTGAACCTCTTTTTAGGGAGAGAGGGAAAGAAGGGATAGTAAAGATTTGACAGCTTGAATTTGCATCACCCATTTGTAGGAATTTTGACTGCACATCTAATTTACACACAGACGCAGACACACACAGACACACAGACACACACACACACACACACACACACACTCCATGATAGATTCGGAGGGAAATGAGAAAGAGGACAGTGTCAGAGGCTGCACATTAGTCTTGAGCTATCAAGTAGATATCACATTGGGGGTTAGTTAAGAGAGAGAGAAAGAAGAGGGAAAAGAGAAAGATTGTGTACACATCTTACAGAGCACACAGAGCAAACAAACAGTTTCTATTGCTGATTGCTCTCATAACCAGTATGCCTATGGCTCTCAGGAAATATTTCAGCAAGACTTTTAAGACATGCAAAAAAAAAAAAAAAACCCTAAGGGATGTAGCAAACTGTATTTGAGAGAGGGAGGGAGGAAGGGAGAGGGTAAGGGAGGAAGAGAGGAGAGAAAGAAAGTTGGGGGTTTACTTTATAGGTTAAATTGTTTGAAATATGGTAACTTGCTAAGAATCCACTGGCAAATGTGGTTGAGGGTCATTTCAAGACTGATAAGCTCTTGGATCAACAATTTAAAAATCAGTTAAGGGATATATCTTCTATTATTTCTGTGCTTGCCTCATTGTATCATATGACTGCCCTGAAACCAAGGAGAATAGGATCTGTTTCATTGGTTTTTAAGTTCCATTGCTTGGAAGGTCTTTGACAGTCAAAAGCAACATGATCTCTTCAAACACTGCCTTTTCCAGGTTCCCAGATATGACCAGTCCTATCTCTTTACCATATCTGTGCCACAGTCTTGTGAAATAAGTTGTCAATTGTAATTTCACTTTGTGGATAGAGGAAAACAAATTGTAGACTGGCAGAGTGCCTTACCTAGCAGAGAACAGCAAGACCGAGAGGGTCACAGTCATGTCCCAGGGCTGGGTCCAAGCCAGTGAGGATTTTAGGAGCCTTTGTAGTAAATAATTTTATTAAGAACCCAGCTAGACACCTACCCTATCCCTCAATCAATGGGTAAACAGATAGACATCACCAAAATATAGAAATAAAGTCAAAAGGCTCATCATTAAAAAATCCATAAGCATTTATCAAAACACACACAAAAAAAAACCCAAACCCTAAGTATTTAGGAACTGTGTACAAAAGCTTCGGTCACCATGGTTTGCATGTAAAAATTGTTTATGCATGCAAGTATTCTTTTCATCCACCATCTGCAGTGTTGTTTACTGAAGAAGCTGAGGTTATAAACTTTCCTTAAATGCTTCCTGCAGACATTTACTTGCAAACCCTTAGGCAAAAGTTTGCATTTCTATTTTTTAATGAATAGTCTCTATTGGGTTTAATTAGTCATTGTGTCTGTGCGTGAATCATTCATAATCTGGGTTTGCCACCAGCACGGAGCAGTTAAAGTCAGATGAATAGAAGAAACAATATTTTTAGGCAAAATGTGAAATACACTTTGGCCAATTCTCATTGGTTGACAACATGTTTTATAGAGATAAAAGTTGATTGGCAGCTGTTAGAAGTTTTGTTTTGTTTTTTTGCCTGTTGGGAAGAAAACAAACAATATGAAAAGAATAAGCCTCAGGCATTTTCTTCATCAGCACTTTGAGGGCCCAAAGTCTGGGACACTCCCCAGCCCACCTGACTTCAGAGAGGTGCTCTGACCTCATGAGCATAACATGAATAATTGCTGCCTTGCGTGCCTACTGTGTGCCTGGCATTTTTACTTATGTTATGTGCAACTCTCCAAGAAACTTCCTACGGTCACTCAGCAAGTGGCGGAGCCTGATGTTGAATTCAGGTCTATCTGAGTTCAGGATCTCTGCTTCATCCTGTCTACTACATTGTCTGAACACTGAAAGTACAAGTGATTAAGGTTGTGTTTCAGCTAAAAGGTTGACTTAAAATGTGATTTGGGTTGTACAAATATTCATATTGTTAGAAGCATTATTCACAATAGCTGAAAGGTAGAAGTAACTCAGGTGTCCATCAACAATTAATAGATAAACAAAATGTGATCTATCCATACAATGGAATATTATTCAGCTATAGAAAGAAAAGAAATTCTGACACATGCTATAACACTGATGTTCCTTCTCTATCATTTTTTTTGTTTTTACTAATCAATCAAGCACTCTTTGGTGATTTTATTCTCTCCTCTATTCATTCTGAATATACCTTTTATTTATTCATTCATTTATTTATTTATAAGAGCACGGACAGGAAGGGGCAGAGAGAGAGGGAGAATCTTTTTTTTTTCTTAAATAGTTTATTGTCAAGTTGGTTTCCATATAACACCCAGTGCTCATCCCAACAAGTGCCCTCCTCCATGCCCATCACCCCCTTTCCCTTCTCCCCCACACCCATCAGCCCTCAGTTTGTTCTCAGCATTCAAGATCCTCTCATGGTTTGCCTCCCTCCCTCTCCCCCACTATTTTTCCCCTTCTCCCCCATGGTCCTCTGTTAAGTTCCTCCTAATCTACCTATACATGCAAACATATGGTATCTGTCCTTCTCTGCCTGACTTATTTCGCTCAGCATAACACCCTCAAGTTCCATCCATGTTGCTACAAATGGCCAGATTTCATTCTTTCTCATTGCCATGTAGTATTCCATTGTATAGATAAACCACATCTTCTTGATCCATTTGTCAGTTGATGAACACTTAGACTCTTTCCATGTTTTGGCTATTGTTGAGAGTGCTGCTATGAACATTGGGGTACATGTGCCCCTATGCATCAGCACTCCTGTATCCCTTGGGTAAATTCCTGGCAGTGCTATTGCTGGGTCATAGGGGAGTTCTATTGATAGTTTCCTGAGGAACCTCCACACTGTTTTCCAGAGGGGCTACAACAGTTTACATTCCCACCAACAGTGTAGGAGGGTGCCCATTTCTCCACATCCTTGCCAGCATCTAGAGTCCTCTGATTCGCTCATTTTAGCCACTCTGACCAGCGTGAGGTGGTATCTCAGTGTGGTTTTGATTTGTATTTCCCTGATGATGAGGGATGTTGAGCATCGTTTCATGTGTCTATTGGCCATATGGATGTAGGAGAGAGAATCTTAAGCAGGCTCCATGCCCAGCATGGAGCCCAATGGAAGGCTCAGTCTCATGACCATGAGATCATGACCTGAGCCAAAATCAAGAGTCAGATGCCTAATGACTGATCCACCCAGGTGCCCCCTTTCTCATATTCTTTTAATAAAAGAGGTTATAATGTGAGCCTTTGATACATCAGAGTCTACTTTAAATTGGTAATTTTACCACTTCCCAATATAAGAATTTTACAAGTTAAATTCCATTTATCTCTTTTTGTTCTTATTGTTTTATATACATTAACTCATATGTTATGAACTCCACAGAGCACTATAATTGTTATTGTTTTAAGCAATATTTATTTATATTTAGCTATATTTAAAAAGCCAATTCAGGGTCCACCTGGGTGGCTCAGTTGGTAAAGTGTCCAACTTCAGCTCAGGTTGTGATCTCACAGTTTGTGAGTTTGAGGCCCACATCAGGCTCTGTGCTG